ATGATAAACAGTCACTCATCATACCTGGATTTCTGGAGTTGTACTGCTCCGATGGCTCTCCAATTTGGATATGTTGTAGTTAAGGAATTAACGAACAACTTTCATGAAGACAACTTTGTGATTCGACCTACAGATGAATGGTGTTATGTTGAAAAAACAATTCCGGTTGATTAGGGGAAATGAAAAAACAATTCCACCAAAGAAACATCATTATGATGTTTCAATTAATTATGATGTTTCATCATTATGGTGTTTTCATCATTATGATGCTTTCATCATTGTGATGCTTCCATCATTGTGATGCTTCCATTATGATGTTAATGCACCAACGGTTACACCTTCTGCAATTCCACTTATTTGGGCCTAGCAACCTTCATCAACAAAATCTATGAAGAAAAAGTCCGGGGCTACCACTTAGAAAACAAAGAATGAAGTTTTGGTACTTTACGACATGACTATTAGCAAGAGACACCTCATTCGGCAACTCCCTCGACCTAGAGACTTGGGGGACTCCCACCATATGCTACTGCGCCTTGGTACTCAAAAGTCTCACGTGAACCACTCAGTGACTTGGATTTTTCAAGTCTCCAACCGAGAAGTTTTCCTCACTCGGGAAATTAAGGGAACACTACCTCAAACTACATGCTTCACTCACAAAGCTTCAACAATACAGGTTTCAACAAAAGCAAAAATTCAAAGAACTTTATGAAGAAGGCTTTGGTGTATTTAACACAATATGTTGAAATGAAGCAAAGCTTATTTATTAATATTTTCGATAAGCCACAAATATGTACATATACATGAGTCAAAAATAAACAAACAAAAGGGAGCCTTCACAAAGGTTGCTTAGGGGAAGTCTCAGCAGTCGGTAGAGCCCCAGAAAGAGAAAGCACCGGAGGGTGGTTATCCGGAGCCTCAGTACTTGACAAAACCCCAGAAGGAGGAGGCATTGGAGGTTCATCATTTGAAGCTTCATTACCAGGTACAGCCCCAGAGGACGAAGGCAATAAATGCCTTTGGAACAAACCCACAAACCGCTGATGATCAAGTAAAACCTTACCATCAGATTCCTTCATCTGGTCAAGCTTCCTCTTCATGTTTGTAGCATAGTCATGGGCGAGCCGGTGCAACTGCTTATTCTCATGCTTGAGCCCTCTAATCTCCTGTTTGAGACTCATCACTTCAGCAGCCAATGATTCAACTTGGCGGGTTCTAGCAAATAGGCGTTGGGCCATATTAGACACAGAACCTGCACACTGAACACTAAGAGCCAGAGAGTCCTTAACAGCCAACTCATCAGACCGTTTGGAAAGTAGTCTGTTATCTTTGGGAGTGAGAAGGTTCCTGGCCACCACTGCAGCGGTCATATCATTCTTCATCACAGAATCCCCAACGGTAGAGGACCAGTAGGGGATATGAAGGATGGGCGCCATATGTTGTCTGGAGAAGGCGTGGCTGTCTCTTCTCCAAGGTTCAAGTCAAAACGACGGTCGGAGGGTCCAGACATTTTTCAAATGTGTTGAAGAAGGAAGAGGTCAGACAAATCAAGATCTTAGAAGTGCAAGAAATGAGCTTCTACTGGTAGAGATTCAAGTGTGCTGTGGAACTTAATGCCAGCCTCTATAAAAATCTGCACTCGACGGAGCTTCAGAAATCGAAGAGGCGTTTGCTTTCTCAAAAGCTGGGCTGCTCAGAGACCACGAGGGCCGATCTCAGAAATCGAAGAGGCGTTTGCTTTCTCAAAAGCTGGGCTGCTCAGAGACCACGAGGGCCGATCTCAGAAATCGAAGAAGCACCTGCTTTTTCAGCCTCGTCAGCACCTGTCACATGCACACTCAGCTTTGCGGAAATTACGGGCAATCTGTCGAAGATTTCTGGTGAAGTAGAAAGCACGTGAATCTTACTGTTCAATCACCGCTCTCCATATGCACCATCAACTCCTCGGGTACCACATATAACTTTGTCAAAGATCTCTGACAAAGTTTAGGCACGAGAATTTCGAAGTTCCAGCTACCCTACTATTACCCATAAGGGTAAAGGAACAGCACCACTGCTTGACAACTGGAAAGTCCCTATGTGTGTCGACCTCCGTGTTTTGCGGCAAGACAGGTTGGCAAGAACGTCCAACCTTTACTCACATTCGAGAAAAGACTCCCAACATAATTACTTTCTCAAAAACCGGAGTAGCACCGCTTTCCGAATCTCGAGAGTCAGATCCTCGACGGGATTGCTTGTTCGAAAACCGAAGAGGCACAACTCTCAGAACTTCGAGAGCCAGATTTCCTTAGATAAAGCTTGTCTGTAATCTTCACACGTAATATCAGCTTTCCAGATACCACATACCACTTTTTCAAAGTGCTCTGACAAAATTAAAACACGTGAAGCTGGCAGCTCCCACTACATTGCTGTGACCAAGAAGGGTAAAGGAATAGCATTACTACTTGTTATTGGGAAATCCCTATATACATTGACCTCCCTCCTCAACGGACAGGCAAACCTGCAAAAATGCTCAACCCTTTCTCGCATTCGAAAAGGCACCCTCAACATAACCTCTCGAAATACTCAGCTTTATTTCCCCCCGATAATACCTCAGCAAATAAGCCACACCAAGAACAAGAGTATCTCATATCATCAGGGTCGAAAGCAAGAGTATCCCATATCATGCTTTCTCCCTGTCTTTGTCTTTGTCCTTGTCCACACCTGCAGGACAAGGAGAAAGAGAGCAGTCAGTCGGAACCTGAAATCAAACCTCCAATTTGGAACTGACTGCCTGGAGCCTTTGCCTGGTTGCTTACTTAGCATTGCTCTCGAGTACTCATCCTCAACTGCTGTCAAGGTCACGAATTCCACCGGCAAATACCTCATGACAGTTGATCAGATATTGGCTCTTTACACTGAAGCTGCCAAGCGTGGATGAGTCACTATGAAGGAATGTTCTGAAGGACCATTTAAATGCAAAGGTTGCACACCACTTCTGCCATGCAAAAGATTGAAGCAGAAGGTTCAACGGTGAGCTGAAACAGATCACTACAGCACGACACCTTTCCATACCACATTCATTATTCCGTCAACAGCAAAAAGTATCCCATATCATCAAGGTCGAACGTACTCTAGATTTGATGGACTTGTTTTGACCCTCAAATTTTTGAGTCGGCCTTATACTCTGAAGGGCACCAGAAAACCCTCCAGCACAGTTCAAGAATAAGCCTGTGGAAAGTTACTTCTTCAAAAGCAAAAGTATCTCATATCATCTCTTATCCATTTGCTTCTCCTTATCCTGGCAGTTGAATGAGAGACAAGGAGAATGAGAACAATCAACCGGAAGCCGAAGTCAAACCTCTGATCCTGGGTTGCTTACTTGGAAGTTTGACTGCTTACCTTGTCTGTCACCTCTTTCGGCAGATCTCCTAGCTCGGCGACTTGGGGGACTCCTACTATAGGGTTTGTATCGCACTTGACCAAGCCCGAAACTACAAGTAAGCTTCAAGTGAAATTGATACATTACCTTGTGCGTCAACATCAGCTAAATACACCATTCCCGGATGGAGGAAAGGTACTTCCAGAGAAGGGCAGATGAAGATCAGACCACACTTCGGTACTTAGAAGTTTCGTGATTACTCAAGGGATTGGATCTTGCAAGTCCCCAACCGAGGAGTTTCCCTCACTCGGGAACTTAGGGGAGCACTGTTTGTACCATACTTGACCAATCCCGAAACTACCGAGCACCGGCCAACGCTATACTGTCAAGGACCCAGAAGAGTTCCCCTCCGACCAGGAGGCCAATCACTACTCGACACGTGTCAAGATTAGAAGCCAATCAGAGCGCAGCACGTGTCGACATCAAGAACCAATCACAACATGACACATGTCAATGTGACAAAGCTACAAGTTTTTCTATAAATAGGGGTCATTCCCCCACAATATTGCCGAATGCCATTTTGTGTTAAATCATTCACAAGAACTCACTAAATTGAGAGCTTGATCCTTTCTACTTGTGTAAGCCCTTCACTACTAATAAGAACTCCTCTACTCCGTGGACGTAGCCAATCTGGGTGAACCACGTACATCATGTGTTTGCTTCTCTGTCTCTATTCATTTACGTACTTATCCTCACTAGTGACTGAAGCAACCAAGCAACCAAGCGAAGGTCACAAAACCTGACACTTTCTGTTGTACCAAAGTCTTCGCTGATTTTGTGCATCAACAACTTTCCTTTAATTTTTGTAAATATATTTAATATTACATTTAATTTCATGAATTACTTTCCCTTAATTTTTTTAAATATATTTAATTATATTATGTTTGTACCATACTTATGGCCTCCGTATTTTGATCTTGTATAAATACTCGGGGGACTCAAATGTAATTATGTAATAAATGAAGGGGCAAATATGTAAAAAGGGAGAGAGCCCTTATTCTATAAAATGGCATACTCACCCTCACAAACATCAAGCTCTCATCCTCACAAACAGAGAGCTCTCTCAAACTCTCTCTTTCTCTGGGGGGGACTCCCCCTCACCCTTGTAACCCATTCATACAGAGAAGAGAAATACAATCAACATCAGTGTGGACGTAGCCCAAACATTGGGGTGAACCACGATACATCTTGTGTTCTTTACTTTCTTACGGATTCACGGTCGGATTTACCATGTTCCAAGACCTCCGGTTTTGTGCATCAACATTTGGCGCCGTCTGTGGGAAACGACACGAAAAACTATGTCGGTTCTCTCTCAATTTTTCATACCTCTACCGTGAATCTGCAAAAACCCAAGTTGTTTAAAGTGCTTAATTACACTCACCGAAACCTCACCACAACAGTTCCCAGCAGATTTGCCATTGATTTTCTATCAATTCGAAAAAGTGACGACCCACTCAACCCTCCACGTAGGCATAAATGTGGTGGGGATCAGCCTCTTTCATTCTCGACAAGCAGGACGAGGAGCGAAACGCCGCCGTCTTAGCCTCCAAACCTGAGTCTCGAAAAGGCAGTGAAAATTCCAATGGCTACTGCTGCAGTCACCTCATTCTCACTGTTTAGGAATTGTGCAGCAACAACTGTGAGAGCTTTTGTGACAATGAAAGCCTCCAACACCAATTTCACAACTTCCCTTCTTCCTCTGCACTCTCACAGATCCATGTGCCGTGTTAGCGCTACAAACAACGAGGAGGCTACTGCAAAGGTAGCTGCAGTGAATGCCGACACTAGAGCTCCAAAAATATTTGACAAGATCATATCTAAGGAAATCCCATCAAGCATTGTATATGAGGATGATCTGATCTTGACATTTCGTGATATCAATCTGCAGGCTCCTGTTCACGTTTTAGTCATCCCAAAGCTCAGGGATGGATTAACCGGCCTGGGAAAGGTAATCTATGGCCCTTTTTTGTCACCTGGGCGACCAACTTTCCGAGCAGACCTCGATCTTCAGCCTCCGTCTCTGGATTATTGTTGGGGCGCAGACAACCTCTCTTCTCTTTCTCTCAGTCCTTAATGCATCCAAATCTAGATGTGGGCCAAAATCAGCAGCAACTGTGTCTGCTAAACAGTACACTGACTGATTCTTCATCACCCCCTCTTTCTAAGTCCTTCGTCAGTGAGCATTGGGAGGGTTACAAGGATTTCTGTTGCGAATGATTCTCCTTCGCCACCAACTACTCCAAGTTCGTTAAGTGGGACAAGCCTCTCCCTCCCTGGTCCGACTCCGACGTCGAAGCCTTCATTGCTCTCGACCCTGTTCATAGCCCCGTTTTGAAGACTGCTAGGGAAGCAATGAAATTTGGTCTTGCATGAAGTGTTATTAGAGCAGTATGAACTGCCAGCTTTGTGTGGAGATATTCAAGGAGTTTACATGAGACCCCGGGGAGATCAAGAAAAGCAAAAGATACCTTGGAAAGCAACATGGGTGGACAGAGAAGGAGCGGGGAGATCAAGAAAAGCAAAAGATACCTTGCAAAGCAACATGGGTGGACAGAGAAGGAGCGGGGAGATCAAGAAAAGCAGAAAGCAAAAACAGAAAACAAAAAAAGATAAAAAGAAACAGACATAATTGCGGTGGTGATGGCATGCAGAAAATGGAATTATGGGCGTGACCCATTGAGCAGAGGGTCGGATTTATTTTTGAATGATGTGATTTATTTTTCTTATCTTTTGAAGACATCTGTATAACCCCATCAGAGGTTAATAATAAAATAAATAAATAAATAAATAATGGCAAGCCCAAAATAATGGGCTGGAATGTTATGTGAAGGGCGAAACCCATATGCCCAAAAGAGCCAGGCCCTCTATTATCACCAACCAGGTGATCAAAAGTACGTCCAGTACTACAAAAAATTATTCGGCAACCTGCCGCTATTATCACCAACCAGGTGATCAAAAGTACGTCCAGTACTTCAAAATTATACATGAGTATCACTCATGTCAATCATACATAAACATTCATGAGCATCATTCATGTCAACATTCATGAGCATCACTCATGTCAACATTCATGAGCATCACTCATGTTAATCAGCTTCGAAAGCTTCATTTACAGAGCTCCAGCTTCGAGAGCTCCAGCTTCAAAAGCTTCATTTACAAAAGCTCCAGCTTCAAAGCTCCAGCTTCAAAGCTTCACTTGCAAAGCTTCACCTACAAAGCTTCAGTGCATGGTATACAAATACCACCTCTGAACAATCGCCACTTCGGCCCATACATGGATTCAATTTGAAGTCTCCATCTAACAGCTCTATTAACTGAAGACTTGGGGGACTACACTATGTACCATATATTGGGCTTCCACAACTAGGCCTCATGAAAAATGCTTGGGGGACTCTAGCCCATCATTTATGTATTGAGGAGCGAGCCCTTATTCTATAAAAATGACTCCCTCACTTTCATTAGAGAGCACCCATTATTCATGTACTGAGGAGCGAGCCCTTATTTTATAAAAGGGACTCCCTCACCTTCATTAGAGAGCATCACCGCCAGCTGAGCAACCACATCGACGCAAGCATCAACTCTAGCCCATCATTTATGTATTGAGGAGCGAGCCCTTATTCTATAAAAGGGATTCTCTCACCTTCAACGCCACAAGCCGAGCCAACCAAAGGCAACATAAGCCACAAGCCGAGCAGCCTCGCAACATGTGCTACTTCTAGTTGAGCATCATTTCAAATTGAGCACCGCCTCATATCGAGTATCAGTTCTAGACGACATCTAGTTACTTCGGCCCACACATGGACTGAATTTCAAGTCTTCAGCCAAAAGACTCTCTTGATTGAAGACTTGGGGGACTACTGTTTGTACCATACTTAGGGCCTCCGTATTTAGATCTCGTATAAATACTCGAGTGACTCAAATGTAATTATGTAATAAATGAATGGGCAAATATGTAAAAAGGGAGAATAACCCTTATTCTATAAAAGGGCTTCATCACCCTCACAAACCTCAAGCTCTCATCCTCACAAACAGATAGCTATCTCAAACTCTCTCTTTCTCTGGGAGACTCCACCTCACCTTTGTAACCCATTCATACAGAGAAGAGAAATACAATCAACATCAGTGTGGACGTAGCCCAAACATTGGGGGTGAACCATGATACATCTTGTCTTCTTTACTTTCTTACGGATTCACGGTCGAATTTACGTTGTTCCAAGACCTCTGGTTTTGTGCATCAACATATTACATTTAATTTCATAAATTAATTTCCTTTAATTTTTGTAATTGTATTTTCTAGGTACGCCAAGCGAAGGAATTTTATATGGATGGAAACTCGAAACCCTTTCAGTTTCACGGTTGTTGGGAAATTTGTAAAGGATTGGTGTTATTTGAAGATCCACCTCAACATAGAGTAGGTCCTACGTTGGTGTTCGGAACTGCATCCTTAGTTGTAGATATGGACGGAGATGGATCTCCTACCATTCAACAAAGGTTTCATACCTAGGGCTATGGGACGAAACAAGGCCCGAAAGGTTGAAGGAAAAGGGTAAGGCAAATGATGATTACGCCGCTCAACAGGAAGTGGCGGCCTCATTGCGATTAATGGCGGAGCAAAATGCCATTGATGCGGAAGAAATGAACCGTAGGCATGAAGAACGGGCCAAACAAATACAATAAGAGATGAATGATAAGAATATGGAAATGAACACTTCGAATTACACTTCAATGAGTAAGGCCTATTTTGATAGGAAAAAAAAAGATATTATGATCCGGCGGCAGTTGTTTACCTCTGACTATACTCCTACAATGGTGGATGATGAAGATGATATTGATTATGGATATTAAATTTAAGTTGTTGTAGTTTTTAAATTTAAGTTAATGTTGTTTTTAAATTTAATTTATAGTTTTTAAATTTTAGTTGTAGTTTTTAAATTTAAGTTGTTGTTTTTAAATTTAGGGTTAAACTCTGTTTACTACCCTCATGTTTCGTGGTTTTCAACATTTAGTACATCACGTTTTTTTCGTCTCAGAGTCATACCTAAAGTATAAATTTTGAGACAGTTTCATACATTCGTTAGTCAAACTGTTAAGTCTTCCGTTAACTGATGACGTGGTACCCACACAGACAATGACTTGTCGCCACGTGTCATTAAAAAAATTATATAAGAAAAAACCCCAAAATCCCCTTCTTCTTCCCTGCAACCCGTACCCTCCCCCAGCTTTTTTTTCCTTTCTCTCTTCTTCTTCTTCTTCTTCTTCCTTTCTTCCTCCCCCAACCCTACTTTCCTTCTTCCTTGCAACCCACACCCTCCCCCAGCCTTCATTCACCACTAGTCTCCCCCAACCTTCCCCCACCTTCCTTCTTCCCTCTGTAATTTCTTCTACATCCCTCTCTCTAAAAAAAAAAAAATTGAAAAGCAAAAACACAAACCCTACTGACTCAAATTGGAAATGAATACACAATTGGGGGGAAGTGGAGGGATGGGGAGTATACCTCGGCACGTGCGAGAATGAAAGCAAGGTAGTTATTGAAATCGGGGAACTAAGAGTAGTGCTAGAGCTGCTGCCAAATCTGAGACTTGTCAGCGAAGGAAGCCGAATGCAAAATCTACTGCTCCAGCAGCCCGCAGATCGCTGCGAACCCTTCTTCCTTGGGCTGCCACGGGGCGGTTACCGCCATTAGAATGGAGACATAAGGTTTTGGTTTTCTGCAACCTGGATGTTGGAAGCGCATGCAAGCTTTGGGGGTTTTGAGCAGAGAGAAGAAGAAAAGGGGATTTTATGGCAGCTTTGAGTAGGGGTGGGTTAAAAAAATCGAAAACCGAAAAAAATCGAAAACCGAACCGAATCGAAACCGAAAAAACCGAACCGAACTGAATTCTTTTGGTTCGGTTTCGATTTTAGTGATCTAGAAACCGAATCGAATTAATTAAATTAATTTTTTTATTTAATTATTTGTTTTGAGTATTATTTTATAAACCCAATTTGTAAGTTAAAATGTACTAAACCAAATGTGTTGCCAAACTTTAAGCTCAAAATATTAAAAAAAATGCCTATAAAAACTCTAAACCCTAACCTATTATTTCTCCCTCATATAAGGTTCCGGAACCAAACCTCCTCCTGAAGTACCTACATCCATCTCCATAGTACTATCTACATCTGCCCCAGCTTTCTTTTCCAAATCTACTCTCATATAACATGTAACAGAATCCATAAACATTTATTTCGAGTAGATTACTTGCGTAATTTGTGATGGAAAAGAATCCAACACACACTAAATAAATCCACCCATGCATTACTTTTACTAATCAAGTTGTCAACATACAGTTACAAGCAAACAACCCTGATCTTTGAACAACATCATACAATTTAACTTTTCTAAGTCATTTGTACGATTTTTTTGTTGTGAGGTTGTTAGTTTGGACTTTGGAAGGCTTGATTGATGATTTTAGTTCAACTTTAAATGTTTATTTTCATTGTCTTTGATTCTAGTTAGAATGCTTATGTTATGATTGTGTTGGAGATGTTAAAATTTAAAATTTCAATGTTTTTCAGTTTTTGAAAAGAAAAAAAAAACAAAAAACTGAAACCGAATCGAAACCGAACAAAAAAAAAAATGAACCGAACCGAAATTTCGGTTTTGGCAAAAAACCGAACTGATTTGAACCGAACCCACCCCTAGCTTTGAGGGGTTTAAAATTTGATTGGGGGAGGAAGAAGGGAAGAAGAAGAAGAGAGAGGGGAAAAAAAAGCTGGGGGACGGTGCGGGTTGCAGGGAAGAAGGAATGAAGGTTGGGGGAGGAAGAAAGGAAGAAGAAGAAGGGAGGGGGGAAAAGTTGGGGGAGGGTGCGGGTTGCAAGAAAGAAGGGGATTTGGTTTTTTTTTTTAATATTTTAATATATTTTTAATAACACGTGGCGTCCAGTCAGTGTCCACGTGGACACCATTTCATCAGTTAACGGAAGACTTAACAGTTTGACTAACGGATGTACGAGACTGTCCCAAAATTTACACTCTAGGTATGACTCTGGAACGAAAAAAACTTGATGTACCAAATGTTGAAAACCACGAAACATGAGGGTAGTAAACAGAGTTTAACTCTTAAATTTAAGTTGTTGTTGTTTTTAAATTTAAGTTGTTGAAGTTTTTAAATTTAAATAATAAATTATGTTTGGCCCTTTGACCCTCGATTGGAAACAGTTTTTTGGGATAAGGCTAAAACGAGTCATATGGCCCTTTGGCCCTTTGGCCCTCAGTTGAATATGGAAACAAATATGATCATGTATTATTTATTAAAATATTAATCTTAAAGAATCAGAAAGCTAACCTTCGATTGAAGATGACCTAAACAATCCAATGGTAACTCTTAAGGAGATCCAAGATTAAAGAACCACCACAATACTACCAATAACTCATTCCCACAAAGGCTTACACGTGTCAGTACCCCAACTCCCCTTCCTTGCTTGGCGCTACAATGTCGACCGGAAAACCTGGAATCGCCAGTCAACCAGCTACACATCATACCCAAAGTTCTCTCTCTCTTTTCTCCTCCAACGGTTCCCCCTTCCCTACTGCTATGCTATGGTCTTAGGCTCTCTGTTTTTCTTCCCACATTTGTATATCTTTCTCGAATTACTTCATTTGGGATTTTGAATTCTTGCTTTTTTTGCTGAATTCTTGATCTGGGTTTTGGAAATTTCGATCTGTTTTCTCCGGAACGACTCGAAAAATCAAATCTTTTGGAAAAAAAAACAGAGGCTTGGAGTTGCAGGAGGAGCTTGCCTTCTTGATCTGCTGTGTGAAATTCTGCATCTTGGGTCAAGCGCTTGATGGTTTTTGACAGCTGGGTTTGGCTTTTGGAGGCATTGATTGTGTATTAGTGCTTTTTCTGTGAGCATATGGGGGTTGTGTGACAGCTGCTTTTGGCTTTGGCTGAAGTTATGGTGGTTTAGTTGAAAAGAGTTGTGAGAGAGATTGATGGGTTAGGAAGGAGAGATTAATGGCTTCAGGAACTGCAGATATCTCGCCACAAGTCACCGGATTGGATGGTGGGTGCTTAAACGGAGGTGGAATGCCGATCATGGAAGATCAAAACGTCGACGCTTTGGCCAATTCGAACCACATTCCAACCGGAAAGCCTCCGAGAAACCTCTCGGTTATGCGAAATTGCACTAGCTATGCATTGTTGACCGAATCAGTAAGTTGAGCGAAGCCTCATTTTTCTTCTTAATCTGCATTTTTTCTGAATTGCGTATGCAGATTATTGCACCTTATATGCATTTATGCACAATGCACATACTTCCCTCATCAAAACCGGAGAGATCAGAGGTAGATACTGTGGGCGAAAAGGGTCGATTTTACGTTGTTAATTAAGAACAGGCATTTGATGGTTGTGTTTAGCGGGAACTGGGAAGTAAATCAGGAAAGAACGAATTGTACTACTGATGTATTTGTTGCATTGTGGAAGAATTTGAATGATAACAGCAGCAATGAATCTGGTTTTTGGTGTGTAATATTTAGAGAATGCCATGCTAGCTTCAAAAAGGAAACAATTTTTCGACGTGTTGGAAGTGGTCAGAGAATGCTACCAGCAAACTTGTTCAACTGTTATCTTAATATGCCAACCCTGAAATTTAATGGGACAATGTCTGCAAAATATCTGGTTTTTACTTAACGAAACTGCGCAGATTGGCACGCCGCAAATGGCAACCAAAGAAATGCATTGATAGTTGTTCTAGAGGGTAATGCCTTATTGGATCCGTATTGATCCTTGTAGCATGCAATGCAATCCATGTTTCTGTTGCATATAGAGAAACTTTCTGAGGTCAATGATATAATGCTTAACTGACACAAAATGCTTTAATTAGTATGCTTAAATGGATTAAAAATCTATTCAGAATAAGAAAAAAAATTAACTAATTATTCCTCTGCGCTGTCCTTTTTCATAGGATTCAGATATTGGAAGTATGGGATTGAAGTCACCGGCAAGTGAGACAGCTGAGTTCGTATTTGTATTCCGTTCAGGAAGCTGCTCTGAGAAAGGACCTAAACAGTACATGGAGGATGAGTACATTTGCGTAGATAATCTCCATGATCATATTGCTGAAATTGAAAACTTGCCTTCTCCTGGGGCATTTTATGGGGTATGTAACTTGGACTTGTTAATTTCTTTTTGAGTGGTACTTTTTTGTGCAGGGACAACCATGCTTAGAATTTTCCATAGTTTCTTTTTGACAAGGCCATCTTATTAATTGAACTCTTACTGAAATTTTGTTGATTTCCACAGGTCTTTGATGGACATAATGGTGTTGATGCAGCGTCATTCATCAAAAGCAACATCCTTAAATTCATCGTTGAAGACTCTCACTTCCCATCTGGCGTTAAAAAGGCAGTTAGAAGCGCTTTTGTGAAGGCTGATCATGCTTTTGCAGATGCTAGCTCAGTTGACAAGTCCTCCGGTACCACTGCCTTGACTGCCCTGATCTTAGGAAGGTGAGCAATTACACTTGATCTATCTGTCTATGATCATCAACATTAAGATCTGTAATTACGTTTTAATCATTGAAAAAGTCGAAACAATATGATTAAACTTTGCATCTACAAATTTTTACTTTATCTCGAATGCTGCTGTATGCTTTCAGGACCATGCTAATCGCTAATGCTGGGGACTGTCGAGCTGTGTTGGGCAAGCGGGGAAGGGCAATTGAGCTATCTAAAGATCACAAGCCTAACTGCACCTCTGAAAGATTAAGAATTGAAAAGCTGGGTGGTGTTATCTATGATGGCTACCTCAATGGCCAACTATCCGTAGCGCGTGCTCTTGGAGACTGGCATATCAAGGGCTCGAAAGGTTCAAAAAGCCCCTTGAGCTCCGAGCCAGAGTTGGAGGAAATTGTCCTAACAGAAGAAGACGAGTTCTTGATAATGGGCTGTGATGGCTTGTGGGATGTGATGAGCAGCCAGTGCGCAGTTACAATGGTGAGGAAGGAGCTCATGCAGCACAATGATCCCGAGAGATGTTCAAAAGCGCTCGTCAAGGAAGCGCTCCAGCGAAACACGTGCGATAACCTCACTGTTGTCGTGGTCTGTTTCTCCGAAGATCCACCTCCTAAAACCGAAATATCTAAATCCCACAAGAGAAGGAGCATTTCAGCTGAAGGGTTGGACCTTCTCAAGGGTGTCTTAAGCACCATTTGAACAAATGGACTGCATATATACAGATGGAGCTTACACCCCCTGTCGGGGATTTTTCTGAGTCGCTCCTGCACCCTGCTGCGGCCGCACCTTCCAGATTTCTTTTAACTATACGTCCTGTACAATTTGAGATACGATTAACAATCTCGAATTTGATTCTTTAAAATCAGAATTTTTTTTTATGTTAGAACTGCATAAGTTGCTGCAAGGCTCTCTTGCACCAGTCAGCTTACTTTCAACTTGGTTATAGGATTTAAATAGCAAACTCTACAAGTAGTCCTCTTATATGTAGAACTTTTAACAAATATGGATCATGTATAAAGTCTTTTTCCCTTTCCCTCTCATTTTCTTGTCCTTGAGTTACCGCTTATTGCAAAGTCATGCAATTGATATGGACATCAACTCCTTAACGAGACAATATTCTAAATTACTCTAATCCACTGTCAAGAAAATTAAACTTTTTGCATTGCAAGTCTGTTTTCTTTCCGACCACTTGGAATAACATACCGAAAACCTCATATTAGGGTTCTAAAAAACCTAAAGATTATAAATGAAATTTACACATCTTACAACACAAGATAAAATAATACACAAGATCTACTTACCCCACTGAATAAAATGAAAGAATTTAATGTTGTGCCATATAGGTAACGAGGTTGAGCACCTGCTTACCCAAGTTTTTCTCTATATGTTTGGTTAAAAAAAGCACCATCAACATAAAACAAACTTTAGGCTACAAACCTCCATCCGAAGAGACTACAAATTCGTAGAGATATTGGTTTTCCTTTTGGTACTAGAGCAAGACATGTTGGTCTTTGATCGTAGAAGCAACTCCGTAAGCGTTAGCTGGGCCGCATTCCTTACAAGGCGGCCAGCAGTGGGATTAAATCAGGGGCAACGGGAGTACAATGGTCCCCAGATCACTCCTATACCCGACAGGAAGACCATGGAGAGATAAATCCCGACCCTTGCTGAGATGCTCTCAAAGGAGGCGGCCCTAGGACGACGGGACAGAAGAGGCCTTAACCGAAAAGCGACGGAAGGGGCTCGAGAGGTGGGGAATAAGCCAGCCCCTCAAGAGAGCCTGCGAAGGGCATAGAGTAGTAACAAGATCAATGATGGCCCTGACTGCCCAGCGAGAGGATGCATGACACATACAGGAGCATGCAAAAATAGAACAAATCCGGGCAGTATCTCTGCCGTACCCCCACTTTAACGTACCCCCTATAGCATCCTACAGGCGTTCCCATCTGCCTACCAATCAACCCTTCCATTCGATACCGCACGAAATAAGATAAGTATCCAAAATGATAAGCTAGACTTGAGAGAAGCCACAGGAACGAAGGCGAGAAGAAGAGAGAAAAGAGAGGAGACCGGCTCGCTCCCGTACCCTAACCTATACCTTACATCACCCTAGCGAACTTCCTACATCCATCGGCCCAGTGGTATCATTGAGTCTGGGATCGACTCCTCGAATGAAGAGAGAGAAGCAAGGCCAACGCTATATGCAAAACGGACGGTCAAATTGGATAAAGATAATAATATTTTATGGTTGAGAGACGGTGAGACCACACAATGTGGAATAAATAAATTATATATGGAAAGAAGCATTGACGAAGAGAACACGTGAAAAGGAGATGAAAACGCCAAAAACAGAAGAGTATCACCGAACTACGAGTGTAGTAGAGTAGAAATCAAAGAGGAAATGAGGAGAGGTGGCAATTAGAAATAATATGTCATCACTAATTGCCAGGGAGTTCCAAGGTAGAGTTGGAAGGATGCAGAGGGACATAAAGAACAGGAAGTTTACTACTTCTGGATCTAAAGAAGTAAAGAGGCAGAGTATTACATGTGTCATATTTGTAGAAAAGAAAATAGAAAGAATTTGAAAAAAATAAAAACGAATCAGATCAAGCCCCAAGCGAGATTGCGCGACTGACCGAAACAGCAAATCGAAGGGGGATCACGACTAGGCAGGACAAGACGGCCGACGGTACAGAGGGGTGCCCGGAAAACTTATCCAAACAGCAAAGAAGGAGGAGAGAGAGTCGGCGAAAGGAGAACAAGTTGCTCTAAGAAACACCTGAAGGAGCCCAAATTACACATATGTTTTCTTATACAATCCATAATTTGGCGTGGGGCATAAAACACAAATTAAAAAACTAGAGATAAGTGAATGATAATGGTCCTACTGAGCAAGCCAATGGATGAAGAGGCGGAAAGCTCAAAACTAATGAAGGAACCCATACCATAAAGTGACGGAAGGACCCCCAGGAACCAGCCACAAGCCAAAAGGCTGGTCATTAAACCCTTGCCTCACTCTCCAACGTTTCCACACCTGCAAAGTGAGTGAGCGTTTGTAGTCGAGCAGCAAAACCCATGGCAACCCTGAAGGAAATCCTAACCCGACGACCCGTGGCGGCGACGATCCGCCTCACAGTCCCGGCGGGAGCCGCCCGACCCGTAGCTCCGGTGGGTAGCTCTGGGTCAATACAGGCTAAACCTATGCCTTCTGCAAGGACTTCAACGCCCGGACCCAGAAGTACAAACCCGAAACCCCCATGGCAGTGATCATCACCGCCTTCAAAGACAACACCTTCGAGTTCACTGTGAGGTCGCCGTCCGTCACCTGGTACTTGAAGAAGGCCGCCGGGATCGAGTCTGGCAGCAGTCGTCCAGGACACGCGGTGGTCGACGCTATCGGTGAGGCACGTGTTACGAGACAAGAGGGGTGAAGAGCAGTACAAACACCCGTATTTGGCACAAGATAACCATGCCGAGTATGGGAGTCCGCATTTGTGAAGTCGTTGATGTACGCGACGGGAAAATAAATTTCAGATAGTGGATTAAGCAGTTGTTAAGAGAAACATCTGAAATGAAAGCTTTTGGAGGAAAAAATGAGTCCAACTTTCTGAGACCCGGTAACCGGTTATGAAGTGTATAAAAAGCGATAAAGGCCAACAGACGTGTGGAATCGGCTGTGGCTTTTGGGGAAAGAGCAAATGTGTCGGTATGTATCAGTGGGTAATTAATCTTTTGAACGTTGGACTACCATGTTGCTTGAAAATTTGATTATCAAAAATTAAACATGTTGTGGTTAGGTTGATGTTCTATTGGAAGGTATTTAAGTGATATGAAATTGAGTAAAGCTCTTTTACTGCTTGTGAATATTCACATGGTCAGCCATTCTTGAATGTTGCGAAAATGAGGAATGAGGATCGGCTTTCAGTTCATTACAACTAAGGCCTCATGTATATACCTATGTTTACTCGATGGGCTATCCCTGTCTATGCAAACTCTGAGAGGATGATCCAGCACACAGCGAAGAAAAAGACAAGACGGTAAGCAAAATGAACCACAACTGTGCGACTTTATAAAACTTAAGAAAATCATCAGAAGATGGTATAGTAGTGAAACACAGGCCATGTGCCGAGGTTATCAAATAAGTCAGATAGTACTTAAGTCGAATCCTAGGCGAGAAACGAGAATTTTATCCTTTTTCTGTTCAAACGATGTTTATGTCATTTGGATATGGTAAAAATAACACTTAATAGAGGGGCCGGAAGGTTGGGACGTAGGTATTCACCGGAGAGGGAATACGAGTAGCTGATGGCGTGGAAAAATTATCATTTTGAATGCAAAAAAGTGGAATTGATTGTAATCTACGATTAACTGAAGAGTTGTTAAAAGATCAGAGACAAGAACAAAGAACACGTCCAATGCCCGAACAAATTAATAAAACATTCGTATAGCATAATGTGATGGAACTGTGCTAAGCCTTATAGAGTTTTGATGTAAAAGGGTGGGATTGTGAAAATGGTTTCGGAAATTTATGAAAAGTCAATCTAGAGGGAGAACCAAAGGGGTGGTGTTCTAGTTTCATACACTTAGTGTCTTTATTCGTTGAATGTAGTATGGAATAATTGCATTGGGATGAAAGCGTATTGACTGTTAAATAAGAGTGGACGACCCAAGAGGCATATGGAAATAAGTTGTGTTTTGATATGACGAAAACAAGACCGGATAGACCGAGTAAGTTACATCAAACCACCTTCCCGACGCCCACAACAAAACGGACTCCTGCCCGCTAACGCCATTGAGGCAAACGAACAAGTCACCCACCCACAAACTACTATAGATTGAAGCCCTAGGCAGCTGAGCCACTTCACCCCAAGACCTGTTTCGTGAACCTCAGATTTCGAGAGGCCAGCAGTTGTGTCATGTGATGAGGCTCGTTGAAACTGAAAGTGGATAATGGCCAGGGAGAAAGGTATCAGGCCACTCTAGACCTTTTATTTATTCTTGAGTAGAGAGGTTTGGACAGGTGAAATATGGGAACAATGTTCAAAGAAGAACTGCAAAAAACCATACGTCTAGACTTCGGATGAGGGAAGGACGCAAACCTACTAAGGAGGAATATAAAAAATCAGGATGGCTTGGGAGGGTAACCGCGGACAGTCCTACCCTCAATCTTGTACCAGATTCGATACGCTATTTCATTTCATATCCCAACAAAATCGATGAAATTCTGGTTGACCCAAAAAGGGAATTATGTGGGCCGATAAGCACAACGTACGGATGCTGATGAAAGAGATGATTTAATATTACATGGTCAATTCTTTCCAAGGTGATAAATGCGTATCAACATTTGTTATGTTGCGTAAGATTTTGATAGAATGGGATTTCTGATGTGCAAGGAAAGTGAAGAGGTGGGACGCAACCATAAGTAGGAAGATAGATACCTGGAGATAAATGGGGTTTAGGCATCTGGCCGTTAAAGCGCCTTTCATAACCAAGACCGAAATTATTTGATTTCGCGCTATATCTTTCGTGTGAATACATGGATTAGAGTTATGCAACTGATACTTACGTGGCATACGCCCGATGTGTCTCTCATGGAAGACGCTCTTCCAATAGATTGTTATATTAATGGAGTGAGAATCAAGATGTGACAGAAAATGTTCAACGGCATAACGAATAACTATAGTGTGTTATTTTTTGTAGGTTCAATTCAAGTTATGTGAATTCAACAGAAAGGTCCTAAAATTAAAAAATTAATACAATAAAATTAAAAAATAGACCAGTAGAAATGAGACAAAAATTCAATTCTCCTAATTCCTCCGAAATGCTTGCAGTGACCCATATCAAACTGAGAATATGAGGACCATACCGGAACACACCAATTACCGAAAAAACAGACAACCTGTAATCTATATGACACCATCTCTATAATGAACTCCCCAAAACAAAATATACAGTATACTGATTCTACCAAGAATTGTACAACTATAGAAGATCTCACCTGAAATATATAAGTAACGTCAAAAGAAATTAACCGTATACAAAAAAATAATGAGGATCCTATGTTATGATATTCAAAATTAGAGTAACTGTAAGTAGACTGAAGAATTTGAAGCAAATAACAGTAATAATATGGGCTAATCCAATGAAGGAAGAAGTAAGGGCACAGCTAAACTCAACGATCCTTAAGATTATAATTCAATCAATTCCAACACACAACACACAGTAATCACAAATAAGATTCTGCTAAATTGTAGAGATTATAAAAAAAAAAGGTTTGATTACGCCAAAGCCCTAACTACATTAACCCTTAGAACCACTCACATAAAATAAATTTAAAAAAAGGGATTCGAGTGGTTTGATCTAGCAAAGATTAGATGAATTGGGAAAATGAATTAGTTTATATTGGTCAAAATTGATGAAGGAGTTTGAAAAACAATCAACCATACACTCATTCTGTCTGTTGAACCCATCAACTAAACTACACCTTGGATCCGATTGCTCGCATTGCAAGACTCCAAGTTTGTCCCACACTTTTTGAGTCTGGGCGCGGACACAAGTAATACATGATTGTCGTCAGCTCGTGCTGGCATTTCAAGACTCCAAGCTGTGTCCCACTCTTTTGAGTCTAAGCACGAACACAGGTAATACATGATTGTCGTCAGCTCATGCCGTAAGAGTGAGAGATGTGATACATAGTGAGTTTAGTACGTCTCGTCAAAGCGGCTCCGAAACAAACAAAAAGGTGTGTGCCGCACTCACGAGGGTTTAGGTTACGATTGGTATGCAAAAACGAGAGTGCGAGAATGGGAAAGTACCATGAAGTGTGAATTTTTTTTATGGGAAAGTACTCGTATTTTGGTTTAGTGGTTAGATATTTATGCTATAGTTTTTTAATGTTGGTCTTTGGATAATGCCAATTATTCTCATTTGGCTTTTTGGCCCCTTCCAATAACTTGCTCAAGTAGAAATAGACTAACCCAGCTACCCATCCCCACACCCATCATCTTTCCCAAATCCCAATTTCCACCAATTCGCCCTCCAATCCAATCTCCAAATTCTATCTACTCCCTCTTCCCAATCAAAATCCCAAAACCCAAACCCCCAAATTTCCAAATTTCTCACTTCCACCCCTAGAAAATTAGGAACTTGCAATTGTCCACCCAGCGACACAGAGCGGCAGCAGCAATGGTGGTGTTCGACAAAGAAGCCAGCTCCTCCACCAACACCCTACCTCCCTTCCCCCGAGAAGACACTCCACTCCTCTCCAAACCCAGCAAGCTCTCCTCCCAACCCAAAACCTTCGCCAACGTCTTCATCGCCATCGTCGGCGCCGGCGTGCTGGGTCTACCCTACACCTTCAAGAAAACCGGCTGGGTCTTCGGCTCCCTCATGCTCTTCTCCGTCGCCTTCCTAACGTACCACTGTATGATGCTCCTAATCCACACCCGCCGCAAGCTCGACTCCCTCCACGGCGGCGGCCTCTCAAAGATCGCGTCTTTCGGCGACCTGGGTTTCGTCGTCTGTGGCCCAATCGGCCGGTTCTCCGTCGACGTCATGATCGTCCTCGCCCAGGCCGGGTTCTGCATCAGCTACCTAATCTTCATATCAAACACTTTAGCCTTCGTCTTCAATTACTCAGGCCCCGACCGGATTCTTGGTCTGACCCCGAAATCAATCTACCTCTGGGGCTGTTTCCCATTCCAGTTGGGTCTGAATTCGATTCCCACCCTGACCCATCTCGCCCCTCTGAGCATATTCGCCGACGTCGTCGACCTCGGCGCCATGGGAGTTGTAATGGTAGAAGACGTCATAATCTTCCTCCAAAACAAACCGGCTCTGCAGGCGTTCGGCGGCTTCTCCGTCTTCTTCTACGGCCTCGGCGTGGCGGTTTACGCCTTCGAGGGAATCGGAATGATCCTCCCCCTCGAATCAGAAGCCAAAAACAAAGAGAATTTCGGGAAAGTCCTGGCATTGTGCATGGCATTCATAGCTCTGATCTACGGATCATTCGGAGTTCTGGGTTACTTTGCATTTGGGGAAGAAACCAAAGACATAATCACCACCAATTTCGGGCAGGGCTTAGTAAGCACACTGGTCCAGCTGGGTTTGTGCATAAACCTGTTCTTCACTCTCCCATTGATGATGAACCCGGTTTTCGAAGTGGTGGAGCGGCGGTTCTGCGGCTCCACCTACTCCCTGTGGGTGCGGTGGCTGCTGGTTTTTGGGGTGAGCCTGGTGGCGCTGCTGGTGCCGAATTTTGCAGATTTTTTGTCGCTGGTGGGGAGCAGCGTGTGTGTGGCGCTGGGGTTTGTGCTGCCTGCTCTGTTTCATCTGATGGTGTTTAGGGATGAGCTGAGTTGGTTTGGGAGCGGTTTGGATGGGTGTATTGTGGTGGTGGGTGTGGTGATTGGGGTGTCTGGGACTTGGTCTT